GTGAGGGCGGGTGGGAACGCGGTCGAAGACGCGTCTGCTGTGGTTCCCTCGTCATGCAGTAGATGCTAGTGGCTTTATATTCTATGCTTTATCTCACGATCTCCCTGAATGATTTTATTTCTATGCTGCATTTTAGGGGATCCTCATCAACTGAGGTTGTTATCGTCTCATCAAGCGGTGAACTGCTTTCAAGGATAGTCGGCCCTCATGTGAACCACTGGGTAAGCTTTTATTTTTCCTATGCGTGATATTATTATTATTATTATCTGTACGTTCGTTTTTTCGTGAACTAATATTATTTGTATGCAGCCATTTATAAAAATCCCTAGAATCATTTCAGCACATGGTTTTCCTTCCGATGAAATTGAAAATTTTTAAATATTTGTCTCTCCACTGCAGACTTTTCTATTAATTGTTAGGTTCGGATTTCTTTGCATTTCTATCTCTTTATGCTTGCTTTAGGCTTATCTTATCCTTCTATCGTTTAGTAATCGAAATATCGGCGAGATTATAATTAAATTTAGGGTAAGGCTAGGTAAGGGTTAAGGTTAAAATTAGGGCTAATGTTAGGGTTTATTTTAGTACAGAAGAAGAGGGTTCGTTGATCACCGAAGTTAAGACTTTGTTCGGCGACAGTAGCTTATGTAGGCCCCCTCATTAATCCCTACTCCCAGCATGTTGTCCTACGAAAACGGCGGTTATAGGGTTTTATGGGTGGGGAAGTAGGACGCGCAGTGGAATATACTTTAATATCTGCTTTATGCATTTTAATTTGATTATATTTCGAAGTGTTGTTAATTTATATCTGTAGATTTTCGTAATCTGTATTTTCTTTTAACTTATTGTGGAAAAACCCGATTATCAAATTGCAGGTTTCTTGAAATTCACAAAAAATATAAATGGTGCTTAGGAGGTCATCTACTTCAGCTTACCGTTCTTGAGTTAGATTAGTATAGTCCGCGGCGCGAAGCGCCACGCACACCTTCAATTTACCTGCGGAGCAACTTACTCCCAGCGGCTGTGGGAAACAACTTCGACAACATTTTTCCACTTTACACTTATCTCTACAAATTTCTTACTCTGCCTCTCCTATTTCCCAACCCCCAAAACCCTATAACCACCGTTTTCGTAGGACAAAATGCTTGAATTAGGGGTATATGAGGGGACTTCATAAGCTACTTTTGCCCTTTATTCCTTTGAGCTTTCGAATTCTTGCTGAGATTCATCATCACAGATAAAGGAGTTAGAAAGCGCGGACTAATAAATCCCTAATTCCGGTGACCCACCACCCATTTTCTTCTTTACTTGTACGCACAATACGGAATACGGACATTCGCCTCGATTCGTTTCAGTTAGTGTTGGAGTTAGGACGCGGGAATATCACCCCATCCTGTTATGCAGAGCAAGGTAACCTGTATTAAGTAGAATGCATTCATATTCCCATATCTCCTCAGCCAGCGATCATATAAACAAGCGCTACCGAAATCAGTTTGAAGTCATGACAAACTGTATCAAGTTATTTGTCTTTCCAGCCCGAGCCCATGAAGAGTTTAAAATAAGCATTTGATTAAAATGGCATAAAAATAGACACAACAGTTTTTACCATCTTGGTGTTTTATATCCAGCATCCTGAACAGTAGTTAAGTATTTTCTTTAGTCTCATGCGCCAAGTATCCTTCCACGCATTTGTATAGTATTTATTTCTCCTATTAGGTTGTCGTCTACAATACCGATTTTCAATGGCAAAATACGTAAAAATTTACATTTGGAGGAAATAAACTCCTTACTGTTTGTTTGCTTTCCAACCACGCAACTTATTGCATTGGAAAAGGGTCCTCCTGGCATTTGAAGCTCTTCTCAGAATATTTAAAGCATTTTTCCCCGGTATAAATTTGAAGCAAGCCAAAACAGCAAATTTATTTGCACAAATAAGTTTCCAGAGCACTTATAAACTGCGTCTGCTCTGTGCACGAATAATGAACATTTAGAGAACACATCATTTTGCATTTTTTTTACAAAATCGATAATAGCAAGGTCGTGTTAACTTGGCAAATGGTCAATAGTTATGTCAACTTTTAACTTGGGACTAAAAGAAGGGGTGGAGATTTAACAAAATAAAAGTGGGGTATGTGTTTGCCGGGACAATTGAAGATTAACTACATGGTATAGTTCCTTACATAGGTCGGGTTTCTCCCGCCGTATATAGGATGATTCCATGTAACGTAAGGTCCGGTTTGTTCTTGCTCGAACAAAAACGCGGAAAGATGTGTTAGTGTCAACGGAGTGACCACTGTCTAATAGATTTTTTGTAATAGATGACCGTGGTACTTTGTTCTCTTGTTTTAAAAGTCAAGCAGGCAAATTTTCAGCAGTCCTGGC